CAAAAGTCGTAGGGGGCACGGGTGGCCCAGTCGTCTAAGGCGCCGCGATTCGCTGTGCAGAATTGCGTCCCTTGGGCACGCCAGAAACCTATGATTGTGGGTTCGAATCCCGGTTCGCCCCGATTATGTTTCTAGGTTTGTCAGCACCATACCCGTGCTCGTGGGTTTCACCGAAGTGATAAACGTCCGAGACCTGCATCACTTCGGGCTTTCCTCCCACATTTAGCTGACACGCCGTGATATGACTGGAATACTGTTAGAAGCGGCGTTAAACCCAACTCATTCACTCACTACAAAAGTCGTAGAGCTAAGATCGCTTCGAAGAACGAGATCCCGCAAATAAAGTGTTTACGGGCGTGGTCCCGTGCAGTTGTGATGGACGCGTCCTGGTAGTCTGACTTACAGACCCTGATACAAATATATCAAATACAGCCCATGCAAGTCTATATTCTTTGGCAAGTCTAGATTTCTGCAGTATCTGAAAATGAAGAGAGCCTCATGACTCCTTTTTATTCAATTCTTATTAAGATAATTTAACAACTATTATTTTCTGTACGATATGTTCATTTCAGAGACTAGGTGTTAGGGGCCTGGATCACACAAACCAACTGTTGGCTGGAGTGGCCTGGGCACGAGCATACACTAAATACTAAATATATAGTATATGTGTAAGGTGTTCAAGTTGTCACCCATGCAGGTGCCTGCGTAGATTCCGGGTTTAAACTGGTCCCAAGCAACCTATGCTGCATCTTCGCGAGGCAGGGGAGTTTCCTGACTGTAAAAGTCCAGTTTCCACCCTTGGCTTGAATTACGGAGTTATATTCAGCCCCAGTGTCTATACTATTCAGTCGCATGGATTGGTGTCATGATGTTAATCACTGGATTGTCTGGTCCAAACTCAATTATTTACTGACCGTCGTCATAGTGATGGAGTGAGGCGAGATGTTCGGTTTGTTCAGGTTGTCAGTCATCCGGGTATTCCGGGAAAGACTTATTCACCACCAACCTATGCTGGTCATGAAAGATTTTGTTTTGTTTTGTTTTATTTAACGCCGCACTCAGCAATATTCCAGCTATATGGCGGCGGTGTGTAAATAATCGAATCTGGACCAGACAATCCAGTGATTAATATCATGAGCATCGATCCACGCAATTGGGATCGATGACATGTATCAACCAAGTCAGCGAGCCTGACCACCCGATCCCGTTAGTCGCCTTTGACGACAAGCATAGTCACCTTTTATGGCAAGCATGGGTTGCTGAAGACCTATTCTACCCCGGAATCTTCACGGGTCTGGTCATGAAAGATAAATCCATGGATGTGTAGTCATTCTTTCCTCCTAAAAGGCAAGTTTAGATATATGGACAGTACATCTAAGGACTCCAGTCTCTTATAGGGACAACTTGTTCTTATTATTTACATAATCTAGAACCTATGATTAAAACTAATAATTATTGCCTCAGAGACTTGTGCAAGTCTAGGGTACTGACCGACAGTTGTCGCAGCAACCCGATCGGTTAACTACCTCTCACGAAGAGTGAGTGAGTGAGTGAGTATGGTTTTACGCCGCTTTTAGCAATATTCCAGCAATATCACGGCGGGGGACACCAGAAATGGGCTTCACACATTGTACCCATGTCGGGAATCGAACCCGGGTCTTCGGCGTGACGAGCGAACGCTTTAACCACTAGGCTACCCGACCGCCCCCTTCTCACGAAGAGCATGTGTCAGCAATCATACACTGACTGTGGACATTAACTCGATATTTTCACAGACCGCCATGATACAACTGGGATGGTGCTGGCTGCGGCGTATAACAATACTCGTTCTAAAATGGTCATCCCGGCCACACAACCCACACCCCCCTCCATCTCTATGGACCTGCCCGCCTACAGGGTGTAACCTCCCCACTTCTCTATGGACCTGTCCGCCTACAGGGTGTAACTTTCACACAAATCAGTTTCCGCTGCACTCGCGTCACAACAATGCGTATTATGTACGACTTGTTTATGTCACCTCAAACAGCAGGAGCTGCCTTGTGTAAAGATGCTTGTCTATTATTACGCTACAGTCACACCGATATATACCTGCCAGAGAAACGATGATGTTTCATCCCCGTGTGTGGAACATGACATCACACCGGATGAATAGGATAGGAATATCATGCACTGAATGTTAATTTCCACATGGCTGAGGCGGCACGGGTGAGCCAGGCGCCGCAATTTGCTATCCAGAGTTGCGTCCCTTGAGCGTGCCCGAATCCTATGATAGTGGCTTCGAATCCCATATCCGCCCTGATTGTGTTTCTAGCTTCCTCAGCATCTGCCCGTGTTCATAGGTTTGCTCTAAATATTCGGGTTGTCCATGTAGCTACTGTGTCCATGCAGAGCAAAACTCGGGGTATATACCCTGTATATTGTCCATGTAGCTACTGTGTCCATACAGAGCAACACTCGGGGTATATATCCTTTATATTGTCCATGTAGCTACTGTGTCTATGCAGAGCAACACTCGGGGTATATACCCTGTATATTGTCCATGTAGCTACTGTGTCCATACAGAGCAACACTCGGGGTATATATCCTTTATATTGTCCATGTAGCTACTGTGTCTATGCAGAGCAACACTCGGGGTATATACCCTGAATATTGTCCATGTAGCTACTGTGTCCATGCAGAGCAAAAGTCGGGGTATATACCCTGTATATTGTCCATGTAGCTACTGTGTCCATGCAGAGCAAAACTCGGGGTATATACCCTGTATATTGTCCATGTAGGTACTGTGTCCATGCAGAGCAACACTCGGGGTATATACCCTGTATATTGTCCATGTAGCTACTGTGTCCATGCAGAGCAAACCTCGGGGTATATACCCTGTATATTGTCCATGTAGCTACTGTGTCCATACAGAGCAAACCTCGGGGTATATACCCTGAATATTGTCCATGTAGCTTATGTGTCCATGCAGAGCAAAAGTCGGGGTATATACCCTGTATATTGTCCATGTAGCTACTGTGTCCATGCAGAGCAACACTCGGGGTATATACCCTGTATATTGTCCATGTAGCTTATGTGTCCAAGCTTGGCAAAACTCGGGGTATATACCCTGTATATTGTCCATGTAGCTACTGTGTCCATGCAGAGCAAACCTCGGGGTATATACCCTGTATATTGTCCATGTAGCTACTGTGTCCATGCAGAGCAAAACTTGGCGTAAATACCCTGTATATTGTCCATGTAGCTACTGTGTCCATACAGAGCAAACCTCGGGGTATATACCCTGAATATTGTCCATGTAGCTTATGTGTCCATGCAGAGCAAAAGTCGGGGTATATACCCTGTATATTGTCCATGTAGCTACTGTGTCCATGCAGAGCAACACTCGGGGTATATACCCTGTATATTGTCCATGTAGCTTCTGTGTCCATGCAGAGCAAAACTCGGGGTATATACCCTGTATATTGTCCATGTAGCTTCTGTGTCAATGCTGGGCAAAACTCGGGGTATATACCCTGTATATTGTCCATGTAGCTACTGTGTCCATGCAGAGCAAACCTCGGGGTATATACCCTGTATATTGTCCATGTAGCTACTGTGTCCATGCAAAGCAAACGTCGGGGTATATACCCTGTATATTGTCCATGTTGCTACATTGTACAGAGCAAAACTCGGGGTATATACCCTGTATACTGTCCATGTAGCTACTGTGTCCATACAGAGCAAAAGTCGGGGTATATACCCTGTATACTGTCCATGTTGCTTCTTTTTACAGAGCAAACCTCGGGGTATATACCCTGTATATTGTCAATGTTGCTACTGTGTACAGAGCAAAACTCGGGGTATATACCCTGTTTGTTTGTTTGTTTGTTTGTTTGTTAAACGCCGCAGTCAGCAATATTCAAGCTATATGACGGCGGTCGGTAAATAATCGAGCCAGGGCCAGACAATCCAGTGACTGACATCATGAGCACCGATCCACGCAGTTGGGATACGATGACATGGATCAACCAAGTCAGCGAGCCTGACCACCCGATCCCGTTAGTCGCCTCTTACTACAAGCATAGTCTCCTTTTACGGCAAGCATGGGTTGCTGAACACCTATATTCTCTCCCGGATCTTCAAGGGCTTGATTAGGTAGATCTTCGACAGATAAGCATAGGATTACATGAAAGTTGGTGAGTTCGCACGTTATCCTGTTGTTATACACCTCCTCTTCCTCCTATGTGTTTCGTTCCTGGCGATTGTACTCACACAATAAATGCTATACGACCGTGTCAACTAAATAAATTTCACAAAAATATTACTCATATTTGTCAAGACGACCTTTGAAAAATTAAACCAAGGACCGTGAAGCAAGATCATTCACGGACCAAAGTGAACGCTGAAAAAGTCGGAGCACAATGGACCACGATGAACATTTAAAGCTTTGTTATTTCCACAAAACGGCAGCTAAATTAGATCCGAAACTTGCTCATCAAGCAGAAATGTATGTGTCTTGATAATCCAGTCAAATATGATCGTTGATGTTCAAAAATCTGTAAACTGCTATAATTTGTGAAAAATAACTTTTCTAAAGAAACCCTTCACATCCAATGTTACTTGTAGCTGTAAAGCGAGATGGAAGACTTTCACAGGCATGTATATGATTTTCTAGCGAGCTCGCGCTGCTTTGGTAACTGGAGAGAAGGTGCGAAATCCAGAACAGCGCCTGCAGACGCACCGCAGAATACCATCCCCTTCTGTCTTGGTTTGGGAAGCTGTTGAAGGAATTGCACACACCCCTTCCGCATAAGGGGGAAATACTTGTCAAACTACGCCATTCGGGAATAAACAATGTCCATAGTCTAGCATAATGAAGGAAAATATTTCCCCCGTGTCCTGCGCTGTAATGTATGCATGACTAAGTCGTTTTGTGTCATTGGACGATAGGTTCCTAAGGAAATACCCCCCTCAATACGAGGGCGGCGCGGCGGTTCATTCAACTCCGCCTGAGACCAGTGAACCCACTGGATTATTCCCAGTGTCGGGGTAAGGAGAAGAGCTATACTCTCTTTCGCTGTTTGACTGAAAGAGTTAGACAGTGAGATTTGTGGAGTTAGCGAAAGGCCTGCATGCAATGCGGACAGCATATTCTTTCTAAAGAGTGTGTTACCTTTGCATTGGGAGGGAGATCAGAAAAGTTAGGATATCGAACAGAAGTCCACTGCCAGTGGCGAGAGAAAAGGCCCTATGGCGAATCTTATTCAGGGGCCGGGCGGCCGGAGGACTTTATTTATAGTGGCAGTGTTTTTTGTTGGATGGGCAATCGCCGAACAAGGTGTAAGTATGCTATTATATTTGATCAATATATTTATTTCTCCTGGTGAGATCCCACTGCTACTGGTGAACTGACTTTTTTTACAGGATATTTCTTGAATGGTGTTTTAAGATGCTTAACTTGAACCGAGTTTAACACAAAGCGTACAAAAGTTCACGATTGTACTTCATGTATCAAATTATTGACTGTTTAATATTTATGATAAATGAAAATTGCCCAAAAACTTTGAGACTGAAAACAAAAAGTTTTGAAAGTTTTGTAAAAAAGTTAGGTTTAATTATTTATCATACAGTTCAAGTCTGGAAACACATGTGATAGAATGTACTATTTCCTATATAAAAGTGCCAAACATTCCTTGAGTAAAATGGGGGCATATACAGTTTTATCACATTTTCTTATCAGCCAATATTGGATAACAGTTTGTTCGGGTGCAATGTTGCACAGCAAGAACTTTGTTTGCAGGATTATAGCATGGGGCTGATAACAATGGCATCACACTGTTATCCAGTGTTGAATAACTCACTATAGAAATGTACAATCATTATCTCCTCTATGTTAATTGAAAGTGATGTATTGGTCCAGCTTGCAATAAACAAGGTGATAATTACACCAACAATTAACAATAAGCATTATGTAAGTACTCTGTAATTCTATGCAATGTTTGTGAACTCATTTCACAAGTGAAAAAGGGAGACATATTATATATATATATATGCATGTCATTTCTATACAAAACTGCCAGACAGTGTAAAAAGTTAAAATTCTGTCAAAAAGGACTTTCCAGAACTTTCATATTTTGAGTGTGTGCAGCACATGTTCGTTTCAGCCTGTGGTTGGCCCAGATATAGCAGTTCCCCTTATTTGAAAGTTAGCCACACTGAAGCCATTAGGCTGGCTGTCTTGTGTCCTATGTACTAAACATACAGAGAACGACTAGCTTGCAGTTTTACCCAGTATCATATTAAATAGACATTGATATGGCTGAGTGCTCTGAACAACGCTAAGGCCTCCGTGTAGGTGTTCTGTCAAGTTGAATAGGCAATATTCAACAATGCATGTCAGTATGTTCGGTGTACAGAACAATTTTGTGAAAAGAAATTAAATGTAGCCCATTCATTAGAGCAACTGTTTCATAGGGCTTACTTAACAGCCAACAGGTGCTTGGCTGGAGAAAAGCTTGTTTAGTCTGAAAACTGATTATTGTCTGTCATCCACTGTAACTGGCTATATAAAGTAGCATTTTCACACCTCAAAATTTGAGATAATAGCGATATACTCTGAATGGTGTCTGCGGTCTGAAATGAATTTGTGGTGCGTGTCTGATTCATGGAAATTACTGTCTGACACAGGTGGGGTGTGTTTCTTGATATCATATCGTTATATTATCTGGAAATTTTGTGGTGATGCTTTTAAAAGTGTTATGCTTGAAAAGAATGTTTTTTTAAAGTCCTGCTTTAATAATAAGTTTGTGTATATGCTTTATCCAACACATACGGTGTATGAGAGAGGCAACAGCTTACTCAGGTGCTCAGTTCGTTGTTGTTTACTTCATGTTCACCAACATACCAGAATATGATGTCTGCCTGTAAGTCATCAAATTTGGACCACACAAGCTAGTGATTGATATCATGAGCAATGATTCACAATGTCACGGTACGGTGACACACAATCAACGAAGTCATCAAGCCAGACAACCGAACCTTTTCTAGTCCTTGATTAGAGAGAAGGGAGGATCTCATGGGAGAAGGGAGGATCTCATGGGAGAAGGGTGGATCTCATGGGGGAAGGGAGGATCTCATGGGAGAAGGGAGGATCTCATGGGAGAAGGGAGGATCTCATGGGAAAAGGGAGGATCTCATTGGTGAAGGGAGGATCTCATGGGAGAAGGGAGGATCTCATGGGAGAAGGGTGGATCTCATGGGAGAAGGGAGGATCTCATGGCAGAAGGGAGGATCTCATGGGAGAAGGGAGGATCTCATGGCAGAAGGGAGGATCTCATGGGAGAAGGGAGGATCTCATGGGAGAAGGGAGGATCTCATGGGAGAAGGGAGGATCTCATGGCAGAAGGGAGGATCTCATGGCAGAAGGGAGGATCTCATGGGAGAAGGGAGGATCTCATGGGAGAAGGGAGGATCTCATGGGATAAAAGGGAGGATCTCATGGGAGATGGGAAGATCTCATGGGAGAAGGGAGGATCTCATGGGAGAAGGGGGGATCTCATGGGAGAAGGGAGGATCTCATGGGAGAAGATCTCATAGGAGAAGGGAGGATCTCATGGGAGAAGATCTCATGGGAGAAGGGAGGATCTCATGGGAGATGGGAAGATCTCATGGGAGAAGGGAGGATCTCATGGGAGAAGGGGGGATCTCATGGGAGAAGGGAGGATCTCATTGGTGAAGGGAGGATCTCATGGGAGAAGGGAGGATCTCATGGGAGATGGGTGGATCTCATGGGAGAAGGGTTGATCTCATGGGAGAAGGGAAGATCTCATGGGAGAAGGGTGGATCTCATGGGAGAAGATCTCATGGGAGAAGGGAGGATCTCATGGGAGAAGGGAGGATCTCATGGGAGAAGGGAAGATCTCATGGGAGAAGGGAGGATCTCATGGGAGAAGGGAGGATCTCATGGGAGGAGGGAAAAGGGTTGATCTCATGGGAGAAGATCTCATGGGAGAAGGGAGGATCTCATGGGAGAAGGGAGAAGGGTTGATCTCATGGGAGAAGGGAGGATCTCATGGGAGAAGGGAGGATCTCATGGGAGAAGATCTCATGGGAGAAGGGAGGATCTCATGGGAGAAGGGAGGATCTCATGGGAGAAGGGAGGATCTCATGGGAGAAGGGTGGATCTCATGGGAGAAGGGAGGGTCTCATGGGAGAAGGGAGGATCTCATGGGAGAAGGGAGGATCTCATGGGAGAAGGGAGGATCTCATGGGAGAAGATCTCATGGGAGAAGGGAGGATCTCATGGGAGAAGGGTGGATCTCATGGGAGAAGGGAGGGTCTCATGGGAGAAGGGAGGATCTCATGGGAGAAGGGAGGATCTCATGGGAGAAGATCTCATGGGAGAAGGGAGGATCTCATGGGAGAAGAGAAGATCTCATGGGAGAAGGGAGGATCTCATGGGAGAAGGGAGGATCTCATGGGACAAGAGAGGGTCTGATGGGAGAAGGGAAGATCTCATGGGAGAAGGGAGGGTCTCATGGGAGAAGGGAAGATCTCATGGGATAAGGGAGGATCTCATGGGAGAAGGGAAGATCTCATGGGAGAAGATGGGGTCTGATGGGAGAAGGGAAGATCTCATGGGAGAAGATGGGGTCTGATGGGAGGAGGGAGAAGGGAGGATCTCATGGGAGAAGGGAGGGTCTCATGGGAGAAGGGAAGATCTCATGGGAGAAGATGGGGTCTGATGGGAGAAGATGGGGTCTGATGGGAGGAGGGAGAAGGGAGGATCTCATGGCAGAAGGGAGGATCTCATGGGAGAAGGGAAGATCTCATGGGAGAAGGGAGAATCTCATGGGAGAAGGGAGGATCTCATGGGAGAAGGGAGAATCTCATGGGAGAAGGGAGGATCTCATTGGTGAAGGGAGGATCTCATGGCAGAAGGGAGGATCTCATGGGAGATGGGAAGATCTCATGGGAGAAGGGAGAATCTCATGGGAGAAGGGAGGATCTCATTGGTGAAGGGAGGATCTCATGGCAGAAGGGAGGATCTCATGGGAGATGGGAAGATCTCATGGGAGAAGAGGCAGGTGTGAAGATATTATGGGCTAACAGTGTCAGTTTAGAGTTGTTTTCAGCTTATAATATTAATTTACTCACCGTGACCCACTTGTCACCTAGACACTGGTGTAAAAACTAACTGTTACATCCCTCAGATATATTTATACATGTCGTGGACCACAATTCTATTCCTGTTCTCAACTGCAATAAGGACATAACCTGTGACCTCAATGCACATATTTTCTATGCACCATGATTCACAAACACGTCAAGATGAAATAACTCACCCATCTTGAATTGGGTGAATAACCGTTAATAAATGAGGCTTTCAAATTTATTTACCCGTATAGGTTGGATAAAAACGTTATTCACGATTAAGACCTTGAAGAGGGGTGGTTAAGACGTGTGAAGATAAGACGAAGGAGCATCACATCGCCTGTCAACTGTGCCGCAACCTTTGTAAACATGTTAGTTATTAAGTTGTATTTAAATACTGTCTGGTAACCACCGATAGACTTTCAGTGTTGTATAAGATGCTGTATTCAATGACCAGGCAATAACAATTTACATAATCACAAAGACCTGCGTGATATTTAGTATGCTGCTAATTCGAGTGTAAAAGCATGTACCGGTAAATCGTTTCTGAAACCGGTTCATCTTTAAAATGCGTTGATTATTTGATCAAAATGGAGAATAGGAGCAAGATAGATAATATAGGAACGTTGTAAAATTGTTTGTTGTTTAATGCAACTCTCAGCCATATTCCAGCAATATGATGGTAGCCTGTAAATACTGGAGTAAATACTGGAGTCAGGACCAGATCGTCTTTAGTATTGATGTTGTTTATTAGTGTAAAGGGGCCGCAGGCTCAAGATACAGTTTCAAATCATGCAAAACAGTTTTCTTCCAGAGCGCATAGATGGAGTTGCAGTCTAATGTAATACAGCATGGAGACAACCACAATAATTTATGAATAATATAAAGTTAAAAAAATGCAGTACAGATCACACAGAAATTAAAATATTGCTACAAATACTTTATATCCTGAAAATAATTATCTCACATTTTTTTAGCTACGAATATATACTTTGGAAGATATTTTAGAGGGGAGTTATGAAAACGTAACTGAATTCACATGGCTAAGGAATTCACAATAATCTTTAGTTGTAATAACATTAGTATCTGTATCATTGCTTCATCTTTTGTTATAAGCTAGAATAGGGTACGGTTTGTGTCCTGTGCAGATCCAGGGTAGTCTTCAGCAACCCATGCTTGTCGTAAAA